CCCCCAGGTCCTCTGCTTCACTGAGGAAAAGCGACTGAAGCAGACGGGATCACAGCCGTCGGTGATGCAGTCGCAGATGCAGACGCGGATGCAGATGCGGACGCAGATACAGCAGTCCAGCAGGCTGCCACAGTATCTGCTCAAGGTGCTAACAAAGCCAAAATTAAAGGGGTGATTAATAAATTGGGCTTGGTGGTGTCATCTGGTGAGGAGACCTGAAATTCTGGTTCAAAAGTTTCACACATAATTTCCCACTGCTTTGCTTAGTGATTTTTACAATATCTTGGGTCTTTTAAAATGGAATTTGTAAATATGAAGTGTAATGTGAAGTTTAAAACAACAAAAGATCTATGCAGCAGAAGGAAAATTCAACATAACGGTGGGTAATTGTGTGTATAAATGCTTTTTAAAAAGTTTCCCTGTGTCTTATTTTATGTTAATATTAATGTTTGAAGGTTTCGGTTTGGTCTGTTTTTGCCTTTTTTCCTTATTCTTTCCAAAAGGTGCTGGGGTCTCATAAAGAGAAATTAAACTTCTAAAAAGTCTGATCGTGGGAGGTTTTGCCGAAAAGTTGTTCTACTTAAAGTAAATGATGAAAACAATGACACCAAAATCATCCATTCCATGCTGGCACATTAGCATAGAGAAATTAAGTAACAGTAATAGAAGTACAGTTGCATTATCCAAAAAGAAAAGATGAAACAGATATAACAATTTTGGCCTAGAAGCATGGATTCATTGAAACATAGATTTATTAATTAACTCACTGTAACCAATGTTGGCTTTAAAGCTTCTAAAAGTTAAACATTTTCCACCTTGATAATGGTTGCAACACTGGACACAGTCTATATGCAAAAGTATAGCACCAGGGTGAAGGATTATTTTGGTGTCTATTCTCATCATTTAACAGGTAAGATAACCGAAGCCCAACGATCCATATGCAATAATACAAAGTTGTGCTGTATCTGTCACTGGCTCAGTGTGTTTTTGTAACATGCAGGTCTTCTCTGGCTGTTTGCAGTGCCTGAAACCCCAGAACGGTCAAGAGGATGATGTTCATGCGAAGTTTGCCCGACTGCTGAGCGAGCTCAACAAAGAAGATGCTCCCTATGCTCTCAGTCTGGCCAACAGGCTTTATGGGGAGCAGTCCTACGAGTTTGTTGAGGTGTGTGTGTGTGTGTGTGTGTGTGAGAGAGAGAGAGAGAGAGCTTGTTCTGCTCAGCATGAATTAATTCATTGTTGTAGGAGGGAGTGAGCTGCAGCCCTAATTTAGTTATGTGGATGAATGTAGCAAACAGCCTTAAGTTACATTGACTTTAAAAAAGAAAGTTTGGTTTCTAACAAATGAATTCTAAGAAAAAGTTTTGGAATCATAAAACATAGAATTTAATTATGAAATTTAGATTTGCCACCAAAAATAAATAAATAAACAAATGCCTGCTTGTGTACAGGAGAAATACTATACATTTAGATTTAACTAAAGAATTCAGTTTTAGTCAATTTGATAAATTATACTTAAACTATCTAAATGTAAAGTAATAGGTAAGTCTGGTGAGTCTGTTGGATATTTAAGGCTTCAGAGTTTCAGTTTATTGTTTATTGTTCAGTGTTAAAGTATGCACAGTGTATTCACCTTTTTGATCTGCCTCATCATTAAATAAAATCCTGCTATGCAGTTACAGAAAAAAAGCTCGCTGTATGCGGCAGTTGCATAATCAGCTCTCAGGCAATCATACTGAATCAATCAATCATCATACTGAATAAGTGTGTTCAGCTCTCCACTCATGTTGCCTTTATTTCAAAAATGTGTGCTGTCCTCTGGGATTAACAAATCCATCCTATGTTCAAAAACTGTCAACATGTGGAACAAATGGATCTTGTGTAATGAAATAGTATTAATTACATAAATAAATCTACCTTGCTTGTGATTTGGTTGATGTATTTTACTGACGTCTGTGTATTCACATGTGCTGCTTATGATTCCAGGATTTCTTAGCTGAAACCAAAAAACACTACGACGCTGAGCTGGAGTCTGTGGACTTCAAATCCAACGCGGAGACGGCCAGGGTCGACATCAATAGCTGGGTGGAGAAGCAGACGCAAGGTAGATCTCACAGTAACACACACACACACACACTCATCAGTACATTACATAGACTGTTAACCAAATCTAGGCTCGGGTTAGCGACCCAGTCTTCTCCCTCTCATGAACAAAATTGTATGAGTGGGGTACTGTAGTCTATCATTGTACCTAATCCTTAAGAGCTTTTATCTTACAACTTCTATTTTAAAATGTCCTGCTATTGCTATTGATCATTTCAATTAAGGGTCTCAGACATCTAGTGGACCTTTGTGTTTACTGGTAGAGACTCATTTTATTTTCAAAAACTGGATTATCATTGTTGCACTTTAAATCAGCCATTCACAACCTCTTGGCTGTGGCCCAGAGCACCATCTAGTGGGCCTCAGAGGGAAATGGTTAGATTAACATTGCTTTTTCCTAGTGAATTAACCCAGCTTGTTATTTTTTCTATGTCTCACTAAGCTGAGGAATTAAAATGACCAGTTACCTTAGAATATCACCACGGCAATCATGACAGATCATCAAGTAGAGACAAATGATAAACGCTCCCTTGGATGCAGTGACACAGAATGGATTAGTTTTTGAAAGAAAAAGTGATGTGGGACACAACGCTGTGCCAGTGAACAAAGTGTGGAGAGTGTGGTGAAATCCTGTCAAATGAGGCTCCAGATGCACTTAAACACAAATCACTCATGAAGCGTTGGGAAGCCAAAAGACTGTTTCGCAAGGAAAAGCTACAGCTTCAGATACCACAGAAAGTGATTACAACGGTAACATCTCGATCGAAAGCAATATGGTGTATTTATTTGTGTCACATATTTACATAGAGCCCAGTTTCTCCTTGTTTTGACTTATGTTTATTTCTCATTTCTTTGGGAAGGTGGTCCTTAGAATGCTTTAAATCCTCCCCAGCCTCTGGGAATCCCCAGGGCTCAGGATCTTTTGTTATGGTCTATTCACATCTTATAATGAGGTCACATAATTCACAAGCATCACATTGTTTTCTATTTCCAGTTTTTCCAGTTTCCATTCACTGTTTAATTTCTATCCTATTTCAAGCAAATATTGTACATCCAGCCTCGTGACAAAATCTTCCTTTGGTTAAAGCAATACATAGTACTACAGAGCATTTTCCTCCTTAGTTACTTTGAATATCAGTCTTAAGGCCTGTGTGTGGTCAGCTCCTGAGAATATCACTGACCTTCTATCCCCATATGAGTGCATTAGAGACTCCCGTTGGGCCTTTTTGGTGTCTCGTATGTCAGTCTCAACACTAAAAACAATACAGGGTTTGAACCGGATCTATAGGGCCCTGGTTCAATCTGCTGGAGGAAATTATACATGCAAGGTCTTAATCACAATGTAATTAGACATTTTCTTTTAAACCCAGTTTGTATTTTATGTCCTTATGTACATTTCTGTCTTTCTCCTTTCTAGTAGTTGTAATAGACAAAGAAATCAAATTTTCTTGAGTTTTGGATGAAAACGTTGCTGGAGCCTGTTTATGATGTTTACTTTTCTCATTGCTGTTCACCAGGTAAAATCAAGGCCATGCTGGGCCAGGGTGTGGTGGACGTCTTGACCAGGCTGGTGCTGGTTAATGCCATCTACTTCAAAGGCAACTGGAACAAGCAGTTTGAGGAGGATTCTACTATTGATGCTGAGTTTAGAATCAACAAGGTAACAATGCACAATGACAGCACTGGTTGGAGACACAGCAGTCTGGGTTCATGAAATGATGTTGCATGATAGTACACAGTTTACCTGAGGACTATTGCTGGCATGTCCAGGGCATTCTGATATTTGACTAGGTAGATTAGGTAGATGGAAATTTACAGCTTCAAAGTGATACCTGTCATTATTTTGTATCATGTTTGTAGTTTGATCTGCTGTAGCTCACTGCATCAGGTAAAAATGAAGCCACTGGTAACATCCGGCAAACTAAGAAAGCCCAGTTAGTTTGAGGACAGTGCCAATGTTCCCACTGGTCATGCAGTTTCTGAAATATCCTGGAATTGCCTTTCAGATGTGAACTAAGTTTTATAAATTGGTCACTATAAAGTGGTGAACTTTGAGGAAACGTCTCAACAAGAAAAGTGTTTGTTCTGTTTGTTGCTGTCTTTAGAATTCCACTAAGTCGGTGAAGATGATGTGCCAGAGTAGTAAATTCTCTTTCACCTTCATTCCTGAGGTCAACTGTAAGGTAATAACTTTTGATACTTCAATAATTTGTAAACACATTTACAATAAGCCAAAGAACAATTGGTTGCATTCTGGTGAGGACTAATCCCATCCAATTTGTGGTTTTTAAAATAATTTCTATTGTTGTAACTATTAAACAAATCAAGTCCTTTTTTCCCAAATAACCTGTTTTTCAGGATGAAGAAGTCTGATTATCTTTGAATGAAATGAAATTAAAGACTAAGAATGTTTTTGGACAGATCCTAGAGATGCCCTATAAAGGGAAGGACCTCAGCATGCTCATCTTCCTGCCCAAGGAGATAGAGGATGATACCACGGGCTTGGAGAAGGTAGGACACGTATACGCATGCAGTAAACAAATGCCATTTTAAACAGACGGAGTAACAGTTCATATTGTATCCACATTAGCTGGAGAATGAGCTGACCTATGAGAAGTTTGTGGAGTGGACTCGTCCAGAGGTGATGGGTCAAACTAAGGTTGAGGTGAGAATGCCTCGATTCAAGATGGAAGAGAAGTATGACTTGAAGGATGTCCTTATCAGCATGGGCATGACGAACGCTTTTGATGTCACAATGAGTGACTTCTCTGGTGAGACATGTGACATAAATGTATAATCTGCATTATTATTTTAAGAGCACAACAATATAATGGAGCAGACAAATAGAAGAGCACCACTTTACTGACATAAATCCAATGAATATTAACATTATCTATCTAGGACTGCTAGAATAACAGAAATAAACATAAGGGACATTAAATGATCAGTCTTTCAAATACCTAAAAGATTGCACTTGTAATCGAAACAAGCACGACAAATGAAACTCTGTCTCTCCTCTACTGACAGGCATGTCTCCCGCCAACGACCTGGTGCTGTCAAAAGTCGTCCACAAGGCCTTTGTGGAGGTCAACGAGGAGGGAACCGAGGCTGCTGCTGCCACCGCTGCCATCATTACAGAACGCTCAGTAATGATTCCTGAAGTGTTCATCGCCGACCACCCCTTCCTCTTCTTCATCCGACATAACTCCACCAACAGCATTCTCTTTGCAGGCCGATACTGCTCCCCTGAGTGAGCGCTACAGTATATCCTGTAGACATGGACGGATTATGAGACAATGGGACCCTGGGAAGAGACACATAAAAGGCCACCCACCCCTCCTACATAACGGCAAAGGCTGTTCTTCTCTTTGTGGTTATTTTGTGTCTCTTCTTTGGGTTAGGGCCCAGTAGACCCGTTCAGTAATCCGTCCATGCCTGTAGAGCACTGTGATGCAGAGCTGTGTCTCCATCCTATATTTTCATCACCAGGTTTTTCCAACAGCCTTTAAACGGAAACTATAGTGCTAGATTACTTTTTTTTCTGCATATGGTGCCTCAGTGCGGTAAAATCTTCTTAAAATCATTTTACACAAGTTATTCTGCCTTTATACTACACCTTTACTACTGGCAAAATAGGCACATACACATACATATGTATATTATTTGCCCTTAAACCATGCATGTCCACCTTCTGTATGTCCCTCACTGCTTTCTAATGGACCACTGCTTTCTCACATTCCACTCATGATTTAATCCATTCATCTGTCACAAAACCTAAAGTGTTAAATCCTAAATTTGATCTCAAATTTTATATATTTCCTGCTGTATACATAAATAAACATATTAATATATAATATATTGTAATTTCCTGTAATTAAGTATAACATTTATTGTGTAATATCTATCTTAAGCCATCTGAATGTCTTACAATTCAAGATGTTTTCCTCTTTATCTAGAGAGAATGTGTAGATCTTCCATCTGTTTGATGCACTGAGTAAAAAGGAGTATAATGTTGTGT